TGGTAGGAAGGGACCCACAAGGACCATCAAGTCCAGCCCTTAAGCGAATGGCCCCACAAGGATCAAACCCACAACCTCGGTGATACTGGCACCATACTCTAACAACTGAGCTAAGAGGTCAAAATGACACAAAATTTAACTGACGAAATACAGACAATCAAGGAACTATGGCAAAGGGTTTAATACAACATCCAACTGCACAAAGAACTCTTACCATAGCATTAACTTTGCAAACTTAGCTCATTTAACCTAAAAAGTGTTAACCCTTAAGATGTTATCTATCCAAAAATGTTCCAGATACATAGGATTAGAAGGAGAAGAAATAGAAAACAGAAGGACAGAAGATCTACAGAAAAACACTTCCAGGATGATCCCAGTCACTCCCACTACAATCTCAGTCACCCCCAGTATGAGCTGTTGCACCCAGCCACCCCCAGTATGGTTCCAGTCACACCCAGACCCTCCCAGTATGATTCCAGTCATGGCCAGAGTGACTCCCTGTCACTCCCAGGATGGGCCCAGTTGCTCCCAGTCACCTCCAGCATGGTTCCAGTCCCAGCCAGCCCCTTTCCAGGCACATCCAGTATGATCCCAGCTAGTTCCAGTAGGATCCCAGTATGACCCAGCATGGGCACAGCTGCTCCAGGATTATCCAGCATGGTTCCAGTTGTTCCCATTTACCTGCACTGTGGTTTCAGTCTCTCCCAGTCTATCCCAGTTGCTCTTAATCACTCCGCAGGTGTTTCCAGCCTGATCCCAGTTGCTCCCAGCCACTCCCAGTCACCCTGAGTGCAGTCCCAGTTGCTGCCAGTATGGTCCCAGTATTGCCCAGCATGGCCCAACTGCTCCCACTGTGATCCCAGTAGGATGCCAGTTACCCTCAGGATGGTTCCAGTTGCTCCCTGTTCCTCCCAGCGTGATTCCAGTTGCACCCAGTTGGCCCCAGTATAGTCCCAGTCGCTCCCCAGATGATCCCAGCTGCTCCCATCATGGTCCCAGTCATGCCCAGCTGGAGTTGCCCCCAGTGTAGACCCTGTCACTCCCAGTTGTTCCCAGTTGTCCCCAGCATGGTTCCCATTGTTCCCAGTGTGTTCCCAGTCATCCCCAGTATGATCACAGACACTCCCAGTATATCCCAGCTGCTCTCAGCATGTCCATAGCCATTCCCAGACAGTCCTAGTAATCCCAGTTAGGTGCTTGTTATCCCAGTATGATCTCAGGCCCAGTATATCCCAGTCAAGCTGGGATCCACTCCCTGAATTCACAGCCCCCCCATCCATGGGATCAACACCCCTCTATCCCACAGGTGACGAGGGAGGGGGAGCTTGGCCCAGGTATCCTGGGTGGTTCCTGGGTTGGGTTTTTTGGGGGTGATTATTGGAGAATGAAGAATTCCAAAGCTGAGAAAAAAATGCCCTTTGGGGGGACATTTGGGGTTCCCAGTGGCAGCTTCTGGCAGAGGCAGCCTGGAGGAGCAGCGCCCTGTGTCCCCGAGGACCCCAAAGTGGGGATCCCAGAGAGGAGGAGCGCCATGATTTGTGGGACCCTCAATTAAATAGAGAGGGACAGGGTGTCTCCTTGGACCCAATGCACCCCCAACTAGGGAATAAGGGGAGCAGGGACCATGGGACCCAAAAAACCCCAAACATCCCTAAGTGGGGAGATGGAAATGGGGGGAACTTTTCAAATTCCTGGCACTCCCAGCAGCCTGAAGAGGTCTGGGACCGAGTAGATGGGGGACCGCCATTACAAGCGTGACCCCCAGAAGCTGGGACAGGGGTGAAACTCTGAACACCAAAAGGGAGAGAACAGAAATGGGGAACTTCTGGTAAGCATTTTCAAGGCCAAATTTTAGTGGTGTACAATTTTTATGGACCCCATGTCCTGGGTTGCAATGCAAGATGTAACCAAAAGTATGTATTCTATCACCATCTGTTAAAAACTAGTGGAGCAGTTTTCTTTATCTCTTTCATCACCCATCCCTCATAACTGGGGGATATCTTCTGTTAATGGGCCAGCTGTTAAAACCAGGTGGGGCAGTGTTCTTTATCTCTTCCACCACCCATCCTTCCTCCAGGGAGATATCTTCTGTTAATGGGCCATTGAGTCTCACTGCAGGACTGATAAAATGACATCATCCCATTGTGAGATGCTCCACCCAGGGGGAGGAGCCAAGCATTCCTGACTGGATATAATCTTGGAATCAGAGCACCACAGGCAGTCTTTCTGCACTGGATTCCCAGAGGAGAGACCAGACCCATCTACAGCACGGGAACTTCAGAGGTAATGTACACAATTCTATGGGATCATTGCTTCATTGCTTACCTGAGATCACTTTGATATCAAGATTATAATAATTTGGAGAGGGTTGTTGCTTACATTTTTATCAATTTCAATGGGGGTTTCTGCTTTCCTTAGCAAACACCTTTCCTTTCAATCCAAGACACCCCAGATGCCCTGGAGACTTCTAGAGAGGGACTTGGACATAGGGACAGGGACCTTCAAACTCAACGTGCTCATTCCTTGTTCTCTCCCGAACCAGGATTTCCCCATCCCAAACCTTGGCTGGATGGATGAGAAGGCTGCAAGGAAGAGGAAGATGCCTCAGGAATCCCAGGCAGGTGAGGAGGAAGTCACTGCCCCTTTCCCCCTCTCTCCTGCGTCCTGCTGGGGACGCATTGGAGGGATCTCCTTCCCCTTCCCTCTGGCACGGAGGCAAATCCCATCCTCTCCTTGTCCTTCCTCCCCCAGACAAGGAGCTAAGAATGGAGACCAGGGAGGACAAATCCCTGCGGCACAACCTCGTGCGCAAGGCCGTTCTGAGCAGCTCTACAGTTCAGGAATCCAACAGGGAGAAAAATCCCCAGAGATCCCACAGGAGGAGGGGCTCCAAACCCAGCCCAGGGTGCTCTGAAAAGGAAAGACCCACCCTGTGCTGGGAAGGTGGCCGGAGGTCCAGCCAGGGCTCTGAGCTGGTGGTCCATGAGCAGCTTCAGGATGGGGAGAAGCGCTACAAGTGCTTGAAGTGTGGGAAGAGCTTCAGCCAGAGCAACAGCCTGATCTGCCACCAGATGATCCACACTGGGGAATGGGCCTACGAGTGTGGGGAATGTGGGAAGGGCTTCAGCTGTAGCTCCCACCTCATCATCCACCAGCGCATCCACACTGGGGAGAGGCCCTACGAGTGTCCTGAGTGTGGGAAGAGGTTTCAGACCAGCTCCACTCTCCTCGTGTACCAGCGGATTCACACAGATGAGAGGCCCTTCCGCTGCCCCGACTGTGGGGAGGGCTTCAAGCAAAACTCCCACCTCATCATTCACCAGCGCATCCACACTGGGGAGAGGCCCTACGAGTGTCCTGAGTGTGGGAAGAGGTTTCAGACCAGCTCCACTCTCCTCGTGCACCAGCGGATTCACACAGATGAGAGGCCCTTCCGCTGCCCCGACTGTGGGGAGGGCTTCAAGCAAAACTCCACCCTCACCATTCACCGGCGCATCCACACTGGGGAGAGGCCCTATGAGTGTGGGGAATGTGGGAAGAGCTTCAGCCACAGATCCAACCTCATTACCCACAAACGTATCCACACTGGGGAGAGGCCCTATGAGTGTCCCCAGTGTGGGAAGAGCTTCACCCAGAGCTCTACCTTGAACCAACACCAACGGAGGCACCACTAAGGGAAACCCTGTGATTGCCCCAAAGTGCAGGAAGAACTTTGTTCACTGGTCCAGCTTCATCTGCCCTTGCAGGATCCACGTTGGGAAGAGACCTGGTGATCCATGTTCCCTGGGATCCATGCTGGGAAGACACCCGTACCTTTTCCTGCCCATGGCAATGTCATGATGTGGGATTAAAGAACATGAGGGTCTGGCCATGGCCCTGTCATTATATTTAATCCCATCTAAGGTTGTTGCTTGGGACAAGGAAAAAGACTTCCTCTCTCTCACCAGAGTAGAAGGGTGTCCTTTCTTGGCAGGAGGAAATACGTGGCCAGGAAGAGTCAGTCGGTGGTGTTTTAGTTTTCCCTGTGAATAGTTTGTCTTATCCTTTCTGTTACCAAAATTGTTTCTGTTCCTGTTTTTGCCTTATGTCGTTGCTGTCCTCAATAAATTGTTCTTATCCCAGCCTGGGATCTTTGCCTTTTGTGCTTTCCATGGCAGGTGGGAGGGAAGCGAGCA